TGGTTCAGTCAACCCCTTTACATTTGTCTTTATTGAACTCTGTGATGCCTTCCTCACATTGCCACGTCGAGTAAGTCTTCGACGACCAGGGTTTTGGGAAGTTGAATGTAAGGAACCCACATATACTTACTAAAATCATGAAGATGACAAATAAAAACAGAAAGCCAATCTTTGACAACTTTGACAACAAAAGCTTCGGTTCTTTACTTGTCGTTCCAGTGTTGTTCATCTCTTATTACTTTCAAGTTTCTTTTTTTCTTGTTCTATTTCATAGCTTTTTTTATTAACTATTCCTTTACAATCTTAAAATGTCAAATCGATATTATTATCCTCTTTCACTTTTGTCATCCAAATAACAAAAACCAATTTTACATCACTAGTTATTTTATAGCTTTCAAGATAATTTCGAGTTAATATAAAAATTAGTTTTATTAAAATATTTTGTTTTAGGAAAACATATTTCATATAAAAGAAAAAACGAAACATGAAATTCCAAAACGTTTATACATATAAATCAATGCTGTAACATATAAAATATTAATTTTAATTATATTCTATAGTACATTTGATGATAAACAATCACATCAAAAACTCACAAACCGAAAGAAGACTTATTTAAACTAATGAATCGTTAATTCACTCACTCAGTTGGATGTTTTCCATCTTCTTTCTTCTTATGTTGTTCACTCTTTCTTTTGCAAACTCACATTGCAAATACGGAAACCTTATTAATTGCTCCAGAACAAAACAAGTCTGCCAATTAAAAAATTCGTCATATGAAGTGTGTTATAACACTTACAGAGAATGTATCGAGCAATATCATTGCGCCTCAAAGAAAATGACTGTATAATAAACTTTTGTAAATGCCTTTTGTTTGAAACTATTCTAATTATTTTTTATATAAAATTTTAATAATTGATATATTAATATCATAGTGTTCAAAAACTAGAAGTGCCAAATATATTTGAAAAATAATTATCTATTTACATTAATAATTAATAAAAAGAAATGGTCACTTAGCGCAGTGGAAGCGCATCTCCCTCCGGAGGAGAAGGCCGTGGGTTCAACCCCCACAGTGACCGTTTTTCATTTTAGTCTTTTTTTAATGGGTCTTTGAGTTTGAGGTCAGATCGTTTTTAGATGGACCATTATTATTCACAATTGAGAGCAAAACAAACAAAACAAAGTAAAATCAATCACACAAATCGACGATGTCCATTCTCAGGTCGATCTTTTGGAGAATGTGGACGTGGCGGGGTAGTATTGACCATCGCCGACCATCGACTGGGTCGCTGTTGAGGAAGGACAGGTCGTGGTATTGCTGCATCATCCTGTGGAGTTCTGTGTTGTCTGGGTCGTACAGGTTGACTGTGTATCCGCCGACCTTGCAACCAACATCGCCACAGCCTGGGAGCAGACTGTAATATGTTGCACGGTTTTCTCCTTTCATCTCACGGGTTGCTGTTCGCTGGTCGTCGACTTTGTAGAAGGACTTCTTCCCGTCAAGCAGCTCGTACTCCTCTTCGGACATAACCATCGATGGATAGACTTCGATGTCACTCAGAAACACACTTTTCACAACACCTTTGAAGTTTTTCCGAATGTCGTCGAGATACCCATTCATCTTCCCCAACTCGCTGCTCCCAATCTCTCCAACCTTGCAGAACGTCACCTCCCACTCCTTTTGTGTTGTCTGTTGAATGAAACACAACCACCGATCTATCATCTCCTCCAACGTCCCATCAACTCCGCTCTCTAACAACTCCCCAGTGAAAGAAACCATCACACTCACCACCCCACCTTTCCGTTCCTTGTACGCAACATAGATTTTGTGGATGTAGACTTTCTTCGGCGATATCACAAACAGTGGCTCGTTCAAAAGCACTCCACTCACATCAAACTCAGGAAGTGCCTGCGATGCTGAGTGTGGATACTGCGACGGGTGGAATGTCCTTGTCGCGTTGTACATGTAGCAGCCCAACCGTTGGCTTGTCCTTTCCACCTCTCTGTCAACACATTTCTTGCTCATGTAGACAACACGCTCGCCAATGTCACTCAACTTGCTGTCTGACAGCATCGCGCTGCGAACAACAAGTGACTTGCAATACCCTTCCAACACTCCAATTACAACATCATGCACAACTACCACATACGTCGATGACACATCCCTCACATCAATTAGCGCCTTCTCAACACAACTCGACACCTCAGAGACGTCAAACACATCATTCACAACACCGCCGTTGATCACATTGATGTCTCCAAGATACCACGCCATGTATTCGTACTCAACCTCTTTCAGTAGTACCTCCATATACTCACTTGAAATGTCTGATGATGCTACAAAGATGCACTCAACATTCTTCTCAGAAGAGAAAGGGGCAAGTGTGTCGTTTTCCCACCTTGTCAAATTCTCCCATGGTGCCTCCATCAGAAGGTGTGTGTTTGCTGTGTTCTTGAACTCTCTCACCCCACCAACCACAACAAGTGGCGTCTCAAGTCCAATTGATGTCTGACTTGTTTGCACAGTCTGCAAAAACGGAAGTGGTGCAACATAGTACGCACCTATCAGTTGGTCGACAAGACTGCCTTCTCGTGGGTCTTCTGTGCTGTTTGGAATTGTCACCTTTCCACTTTCAATTCCATCCACTACAACTTGCAGTGTGCGGAAAGCAGACGCAGTGTCATCAACACAATTGTTGACATCACCGCCATAATACTCGTAGTCACACAACCTCCCATCTCTCACAACAAGCCTTCCAACAGTCTCCTTACTTGCTCCTTTCAAACACTTTTGGAACATGTTATATATTGTATATTCGGTGACATAAACGCAGTTGTCCTCAATGGGGCTGTGCACAAACTCCATTCCCTCATCGATGTGGACATTGTGCTGTCGATGTATTCCATGCAGACGAATTCGTTTTGGTGTGTAGACCACCTGTGGAAAGACGCGGAACTCTGGCGGCAGTGGAAAGCACTTTGGTGTGTTCACTTCGCGCGGGTAGTCGACATTTTGTGGAGGCACTTTGGTTACCATGGGTTTCACGCCCTTCCTCTTCTCGCGCTTTGTCTGGAAACCCCCTGTTGGTTGGTGATAGGCAACATATGCAGTGCTCAAGTTGCTCTGTCTGATGAAGTGATCGACGGGTGGAATTGTCATCTTTTCGAGGAAGCAAGCAAGGCACAACGCACTCTCACTACCACACAACGCAACATGACTTAACTGCGGAAGACGCCGCAGTGTCTCTGTAGGCCGCGTCACCGTCACGGTGTTGTTTGGGAGTGTCACCTCGATGACAGAAGACATCGATCGGAACACAAGAAGTCGTCCAATTACGTCGTCCTCAAGTGACAACACAACACCCCCAACATCTTCGACATCAACCAACTCAAGTGCGCGGCGCAGCATCTCGCCATGGTGTTTCACGCATTCCATTGCTCTCTGTTTTCTTTGTTCTCAAAACCGCCAATATATGAAACGCACTTTTGGGACACTTTCATCTATTTCTGTATAAGTTGTGCCAAAAGTGTGTTATCTCTTTTTCGACCAACCACACCAAGACTGATATTAAACCAATATTGACTATTTTGTATCAAATACAATCAAGTTCATCACATCAAAGAAGACAAACTGACTTGATTAAGAAGACAGCACTGGGCATAACATAAAAGGCGTACAAACGACAATAACTTATTAATAACAACGGGTGATCAAAATTTCCACTGCAACTGAGATGCTTGATCGCCCCACCCGCCAAATGATGGTGGTTGAGTGTCGTGTGTTTGATTTGTGGATGTCGTGTTCTGGTTTTGTGCGTCTGCTTGTGCAGTTTGTTGTGTTTGGTCGTCATTCATCGATTGTGGGACGTTAAACTGTGGCATGTCGTTTCCCATCATGTTGAATCCAAAAGCAAACGAAGCGGGATTTGGCATGAAAGTTTCTTGAAGGCGTTGCATTTTAAGTTCTAAAGAATCCTCGCGCAGTTTGAGTTGATAAAGCATTTCTTTGAGTGTATTGATCTGAGTGAGTGTGTCAATGTTCTGTTTCTGCAACTGGACAAGTTGAGTCAAAAGTTGTTGGTAAAGAACTGTCGTGTTGTTCTGTTTCTTGCGTTGCGAAGCGGGTTTCTTGCGTTGAATGTTCTTCAACAACTCCATGTGGCCTTGCACAAAGCTCTCGTGTTGGAAGCGATACTCGTCTTCTGTCTGTTTGTAATTATTTGATTGAAACGCGTTGTTGATACAAACCTTTTTAAAGCCATAGAGTGTGAGCTGACGTGTGAAGCCACAGAAATTTGTGTGCTTGTAATACTTTGGGAGGATCTCCTTTGAGAACGCAACGGGATCGACAATTTCGAAGGAGTGTCCAGAATCTTTCGAAGACCACCTAATCTTGTTGTAAGTCGGTTTCTGTGAAACAAACTGGCTTGAAATGTTTTTTATACTATATTAATACTACACTTATAGTAATAGTAAAACAAACATATCGATCGTTGTCTTTGAGGTCGACCATTTGGTAAAGTATTGAAACAAAGGACACTATTGTCCCACGAGTGTTCTCTCTCTCGTCTTTTTCAAATTGGTCATCAAATTGTTGCCCATCCATTTCATCGTCGTTGAACTCTCTCTCCATCACAACCAAATGAGAAAGGAGTCTTTCTTGCTTTGTGGTCCAAAAATAGAACAATAGAGAGAAACCATCAATATAATAAGTGTCTAGTAAAAGAGATTAACCCTTGCAAAAAGGGCAACTCGCAATTTGAAAAAGCACCAACATGGCTCGTCGTACAAAGAAGGTTGGAATTGTCGGAAAATACGGAACAAGATACGGTGCCTCCCTTCGTAAGGTGATCAAGAAAATCGAGATCGCCCAACACACCAAATACGTCTGCCCATTCTGCTGCAAGGAAGCCGTCAAGAGAACCGCTTGTGGAATTTGGGAATGCAGAGCCTGCAAAAAGCAAATCGCTGGTGGTGCCTTTACAATGTCTACTATTTCTGGAGCCACTGTGAGATCGACTGTCAGAAGATTGAGAGAGGCCAGACATGCTCAATAATCGATTTGTTGGTGTTATCGTTTTACTTCTAAACCTACCTAAAACGTCCCTTCTAGTTTTTCAATAGAACAGTTAAATTGGTATATTTATTATCCAACTATCAATATAGAAAACAATAACATGCCAAATTAACAACAATAGATATATTTTAATCACAACACCCTTTGCTGCCCGTCTTGTGGAGTTTGTTTATGCATATTATAAACAACATACAGTGATATGAACAGTTTGTTACTACGCTAGTGATATATTTTTTATTTTAATATAAATTTATAGATAAAAAAATTTTATGAAAGAGATTACAAAAGTAAGACAAAACTTACAGTAGTTTAAAACCTTAAATTAATTTTTAAAGTTCTATAGAGTATTATATTAAAAAAGTTAAATGAAAAACAAAACATAGAAAAAAAACTAAAAGAGTAAATGATACATTTAGGCAACAAAGACAAATTCTGCTGTCGTTAGAACCACAGATGTTTTAACTTGCAGTTGGGAAGCCAAGTATGTATTAACAATACTTCCACACATTTTTATCTGTTCGGTATCATAAATACAAATTCCATTAGAATAAATCCACACATTACCTTCATAGCCATCTACTGTTTCATTCTCAGCTATTACGACATACCCAAATTCAAGTAAAATATCCATGAGAAGTCTGACCACTTCTCTTCTTTTAGTTGGTTGAATTCTTCTTTTTGCTGTTTTCTTTGTGGTGTTTCCACTCATAAATTCGTACTGAGTTTTCTCTTTTGAGAGTGTTTGAATGTATTGCAGAACATTGATAGTATCAAATCGATTAAATTCGAGTTCTTTGATTTTAATGAATTGTTTGGTCATACGAGAGAGTCGATGTGGTCTGCCAATTGTTATTTTGCAGTGTTTGGTCAGAAGAGCAATTAGTAGTGATTGGAGGTCTGCCTGAAAGTTCATCGCGTCGTTTTGTCTTTCTTTGAACTTTGGTTGGTTTGCATTCTTTGAATTTATCGCTGCCTCCTCGCTTTTTCCACAAGTTTGACTTGTTTCTAAAAAGGTATGAGAGTTGGTCCTGCAAATGGGTTGGTCCATCTTTTGTGAAGGATAGTTTTCATCAGTTTAAACAGTAACTTCACAGAGTAGAAAATAATAATAGATAATGAATTGGTAGCTTGATTGATGTTCGTTTATTCATTGCAAATAAAACAATCTCTTTTTCTCTTGAAAGACATATCGAAGGTTTTACAACCGTAGTTGTGTCGTCTATTTTTGTTCATTTTGTGCGAAAACATTTCCAAAAGAATAAAGAATTGATAAAATAATGGACGGTTTGGTATGGATACTTTTTGTCTCGAGATTGTGGAGACAAAAAGTTTTCGATCTGGTATCGTTTAAAATAGATAAACCCAATTTTTAAACAGTAAATCGTAAATTAGTAAAATAAAAGCAATCTCTCGGGATTATTTATTTTCGTTATTTTGTTTTATTCAAACATACTATTTGAAATGGTTATTATATTATAAAAAAAACAAAATAAAAATATGTTGAAATGGGTGGATGAAAAGATGAACTGTTGTTTTGGGATGAAAAAAAGGATCTGATAATACTTTGAGCGAATTATAGGGACATTTAGCCGCTTTTTGTTATTCAATTTGAAGAAAATTGGAAGTGGGTGAATTCCGGTACATCGTCACAAAAATTGAATACAATTGATCTTTATTATTTTTATTTTATAAGAATAATATTATAAGTATTGTAATTTTTTGGATTACAAAAATAATATAATTAACAAATAATTAATTTAAAATAGTTTAATGTTACTTAACGAAGGTCTAATGAAGTAAATGTAATTTAAAACGAATTTGAAAAAATGAAGAAGAGCTTTATGCAATCCAAAAAGTCCAATTAATAAAAACGAACATTGGCACTGATTGTTGATTCAATTTATTCAAATGCTTGATAACTTTTTTTCGTTTAAAAGTTGTTTGTGTTAAAACCAACAAGTGTTAATGGGAACAAACAGAAGAAAACCCCGTTTTTAAAGAGGGGTCATAAAATAGATAAAGTATTGACCACTATTTTTATGTTTTTCAACAGTCCTCATATTAAAATAATTAAAAGGGAAAAGTTATGTTTTACAATCCATTTAAAAATTATGAAATTTTTTTTATTTAATCATGTTCATTATTTACATCTAAAAAGTTAAAACATAAGCAACTGTTCATTTTTTTCGGAGATACAACCGTAGTTTTTAAAAAGTTTATATTTAACCCTTTTGAACATTATTTTTTGCAATTTATATCAAGATCAATTCAATAACGATTTACCAAATAAATACAGTAAAACCTCTCAAGAGCGGGCATTTTTAGCCAATCAAACCTTAATTACCGCTCGATAGAGAACTCTATTTTTAGTTTCAGTCTAAAAAATGCCCGCTCTTGAGAGGTTTTATTGTACTGGTATAATCAATTTTAAAAACAGTAGATTCTATCAAAACTACTTGTTTTGACAAAAATAATTGTCCACATGAATTAATCAAATAAAAAAAGTTAACAATTTGAAAAGTTAAATAAATTACTAATTTAATTACAATTTAATTATTAATATTATCAATAAACAATTAATTATTTATTAATAAATTCAAATAATAAATTTCATTTATTATTTATTTCATAAATAAAAATACCATTTCAAATAAATTCTAATAATTTATTTTTTGCTTTATTGTTTGTAAAATGATTTTGACTATAAACATATTTTTGTTTTATAATTTTGTTGTTTGAATAATTTAAAGTGCTGTTTTAAAGTTGATAAATACATTTGAGTAAGATTAAAATTCATAATTTTTTAAAAATCGAATGATTCAAATTTTTAAAAAACAAAACAAAAATCTTATACATCTTTGCTAATTTCTTCAAGTTGTTTTCTCATTCTTTGGTCTCTATTATTGATGAGTTCTTCGATTTTGTCCTGAGAAACTTCAATATCCAGTTCTTGATGGTTTGCTATGTCGTCGTTGAGTAAAATAACAATTTTACCAACTTGGTCGAATGTTGGTCTATTTTTTGGTTCTTGTTCCCAACATTTTTTGACCAATTCCTGGTATATGGGAGGCATACCATTCTCCAGTTTCAGTCTTTTTCCAGACTCAACATAGTTTTTAATTTCAAAGACAGACCGAAGCTCGTTGTAAGGCTCGTCCTGGTAAAAAATTTCCCAAGCAGTAATACCATACGAGTAAACATCACCTGCAAATGTGTACTCATCGTGGAATGTTTCGGGAGCAGCATAAATCGGGGTTCCAAGTCCTTTATCTTGTCCTTTACCGATCGTCCTTTTAGTGAATCTTGACGTACCAAAATCTGTAATTTTGATTGAACATGCACTGTTTGGATCCAATGAGTTAACAAGCAAATTGTCTGGCTTTAAGTCAAGATGCATAATTCTGTTTTCATGCAAGAATTGCATTCCACGAGTTGTATCAAACAGCATCCTCACTTTCAATTTGTATGGGAGTTTGATGTAGTCTCTCTTGTCCTTACGCAAATACTCTCCAAGTGAACCCAAAACAAAGAACTGAATGACCATTGAGACTTGTGGAATGTATGTCACTGAACCCATATAACTCGCGATAAACGGATTTCGAAGTTTGCTCATAATTTCACATTCTGCAGTAACTTCTTTCTTTAGTTCCTTCATATCTTCATCGCTGAGACTTTCCCATCTAAATTGTTTGACTGCGACGGGAACACTTCTATAGCTGCCAATATACACTTTGCCCATTGCTCCTTCAGCTATGGGGAACTCGGACATGTTCAATTCGTCTAAGTCAATATGTGTTGAACTTGCCGCATCTGTTTTAATTGTAATCTGATTGTGGATTTGTTTTCTGACATTCTTTTTAAGGTACTCCATTTTCTTTTCGTCGGAGTTTGTCCAATTTTCAAAACTCTTGTCTTTGAGAAGATTTGATATTTCAATCAATGTTCTCTTTGATTTACTGAACCACACCGTGTATGGGATCTTCAAATCACGGACTTTTGTTGAACAGAAGATGGTCACATAAGAAGTCACTGTTTTTGTTGTTCGGGCAGAAAGAATCACAACTTGTGGTTCAAAGTGGAAAATGTATTTGGGGGAATTTGGAGTGTGGAATATGAGTAACATACTAGTTATAAGTTTTTGCTCTGAACATGACATTATATTATAAAACAAACTATTTGTTTCTGCTCAAGTTTTTCACTTCAATTCTTTCAAACCGGGTGTCCAATATATTAGTTGCTTGACTGTCATTTCCATAGTCGAGATTTACAGGGTCCATAATATATTTTGCCATCTTACAAGGAGGTGTTCTAGTAGATCCCGAGATGTAGAAGTGAAACATAGGTTGTTGTGTTTTGTAAACATTAA